CCCCCCACAGTGGGGGCTAAAATGGGGCATAAAGTTAAAGGAAGTAATGCAAAGGGGGTACTAAGTAATGTCAGTGTTGGAGATGCAATGGGTGAAATTGTTTCTCAGGAGATCCCAATGCCTCAGGAGGGCTCTAACGTGATGAATGAGCAGGAGCAGGGACAAAGTGTCCAATATCAAGCTCAATTTGAGGCCCTCCATTTAAAGGCAATAATTAAGGAATCTCTGGTAGTAGTAGTGGGGAGGGATCTAAGGGAGGCTTTGGAGGCCTCATCAGAGGAGGCGGGGTTAGAATCTATGGAAAAAGTAATAAGGGTACCAACTAGGCGCCCAAATACAGATAGAAAATGGGTGGAACAGACATCGACAGCTGAAAAACTGGTAATTTTTACTGGGGACTCTAATCTGAGTAAAATACCTTATTTCACAGATCCACAAATTCAAGTGGAAAGTTTTCCAGGGGCAAAGTTTTATCATATGTCACAAGTACTACAAAAAACTAGGCTAAATCCTGATACGCAAAAAGTGATCTTGGCACTAGGAAATAATAATAGGGAGCAGCAACCATACAAAACGGCAATAAAACAACTGCAGGGTCTGTGGAGGGCGGCAGCAATAACATTTCCAAATGCAACCGTACATACCCCATTGATACATTACTCAGATCTATTACCTAGGCAACAGCAGGAAACTAAGAGTAATTAATAAACAGCCAAGTCTTTGTTTGACTACTGGGTTCAGCAGTTAAACTTGTAAACCAGGTGATTTGGGGAGCTTATATTACCAACTCATGAAAACATCTCCCTTACTACTTGCAATGTCATTTATCTAATTCAATGTAAACGATGCCAGAAAAGGCAGACTTTGTGGATGATGACCCTAGGGATCCGCAAGGAATATGGGGAGCAGGCCCATAATCATTTGTGGAGCTCCCCCATAGCACTTATTTATTCATAGCACAGGGACACCTCTCCAACAAAGTAATACATACTAACATTGTTTATTATAGTGGAGCGATATTAACAACTTTAACAAATATTCAAGCACTTGTCTCTTTTGAACAGGGCTCACAATTAATTGGACCACCCATTTGAGGCATATACTTTATATAACTGTACAGATTATAACTTTCAATTATATAGACATTTTAGCAGAGGTAATAGTTAGATGGATCTATCGGGACAAAATTGGCTTTGCGCTCCTTTATATTGCCTAGATTGTAATTTGAATAGTATCCCATTCAGGTTATCTACCACTGTAACATTTCCCCTCCTGTAATATACAGTTTAAGCTAATCTTTATGAATTGACAGGACACCTAGCCTAACCCTAATTTGGGGCCTTATAAACCACCTGATGTTTCACCCTAAGTAGGAAATATGTTACTAAAGCAAGCTATATTGTGATTTCCTGTCCTATAGGGCCCCAGATCTATCATAAAGATATATTTTTATGCCTGGAAATGCCATACTTATTCTTACCCTAACCCTAGCCTAACCCCAACCTAACCCTAATTTTGGGCCTTATGGTGAGAAAACAGACTGAAAAACAGACTACAAAAGCAAGCAAAAGTATGATTTCCCATGACTTCCCATCCTATGTGGCCCTAGATCTATCATAAAAACTCATTTGGATGTCTGGAAATGCCATACTTTTTCTAACCCTAAACCTAGCCTAACCCTAAACCAAACCCTGTACAGGTCCCTGTACCCCGGAAGCTAGCGCTCCGTTGGGAAAGCCTATACAGGCGGGGAATAAAATGATGATAGGGCAACAGAAGGGAAATCATCCCCCAGTTGAATCCCTCCCTGAATATTCCCCCAAACAATATTAAATACAGGGACCAAACATAAACCACCACGATCACGTAGTCTAAAGTCTCCTACCTCCTCTATAACATCAGAGGAGGACTTTCAGGACCCAATGAGAATAAAAACTCGCAGGCCACAGAAACATCCCAACTGAAACCGCAAAGGCAAAGAGTGGTCATTGAAGGTCCATAAACCAATCATTTTTATAGGAGACTCCAATCTTGGTAAAATCACCCAAATAGACGATCCCCAAATACAGATAGACAGTTTTCCGGGAGCCACTTTTTATCACATCAATGCTATTTTACAAAAATTACCCCCCAGCCACAAGTACAAAAACTAGTCCTTTCAGTAGGACTGGAGAACAGAGATCAACACCCCAACAAAACTGCAATAAAACAACTACAGGCTCTATGAAAAACAGCATATACCATTTTCCCTAATGCAGATATGTGTATACTCCTACTATTCACTATTCTGATCTTTTATGTAAAGCACATCAAAACAATCTTTACACTTTATAACAAAAGTGTAAGTTACGTTATACAGTTACGTCATGTAATTTCAGACTTGAGATTTCTGAAGATTTACTTGTCTTGTTTCTTGTATCTTTTTAACATGTTGGCTTTATTTAAAATCTGAATTTCTACCAATTTTGCAGTGAAAGCCAAGCCCCTGTGAGTCAAATAACCCCAGTAGCCCAACCTATGATGAACTGCAAAGTCCGGTTTCCTCCAGCAGTCTTCACTGCATTGACCAATAAGGATGCAGCTCTGAAGTCACATTTAAAAAAAAACGGTAAAAAATATGCTTATTCAAGCTCTGTTTGATCAATGTAACAACAATGTAAGTCTTTGTTCCATAATAGGTTTTTTTTTTAAGAACTGATTCATTGTCATGACCTGTTTGTACGATCCTCCTGTGTGCCACGGCCCATTAACCTCGTGTGAAACCTTGATTGTTCCCAGCTGTTTGATGTTATTTCCGGCTTGTTCTGTGTATATCAGTCCACATCTCCGTCCATTTCCCAGATCGGTGATTAACGTTTGCACCGTGTGATCCCCTGTCAACCCGGAATAAACCTTGTATTTTGGATCCCTTGCCTGCCCGACTGGTGATTCCCTGCTTGCAGCTCCCACGCCTGATCCCAGTCGTAACAGAATGACCGATCTCAAAGAAGACTCGCCTCTGCGGGCCGAGAGACAACACCTCAGTCTGCTCCAAGAGGTGATATATTAGCTGAACCAGCCTGAAGTTCAGGAAGATCCCGTGTTGTCTGGGAACGTGCACCTCATGAGTGAGGTACCGGCAGCTGGTACAATGCGTGACAGAGAGGAGGATCCAACCAGTCGCGCTGCACAGGGCGGAAGTTACCGATCCGCCGTCCATCCACTCGGAGACGGCGCAACTTTCACTGACAACCACACACCAGAGGAGAAAGAAGCAAAAGGAGAGGAGACCAGAAGAAGCTACAACAATTTTCCTGGGGGCCTGCTCTCTCTCCGCAGCTTCTCTCCCTGCCGAATATCGGTAAGAACCCCTCCCGATCCAGAATCCGGCAGGGCTCACCCTGGACATCACCACTGCTTCACCCCAGCAGGTGCCAAAAGCTTACATCACCGCCACAGAGCAGCCGCCGCTAGCTGCTTACCCATTTCAGGAAGCACGCTATGCTAATAAAGGGGCCAGAGTTGTGTGGGACGCTACCCCGCTGGCAACACCAGCTTTTACGGCGCCAACCCTGGAGGCTTTAACTGAAGTCCCTGACTCACCTGTTCTCCTGGTTTCTGACCTGCCTGTTCCTGTGCTGCCTGAGCCTGCCCTGCCTGTCCTGAAGGTCCCAGCCCCAGCTGACGCGCTGTCCAGCAAGGCCACGCCCACGCCTGCTGCTCCGCCCAAGGTCCCGGCCCCACCTCCACCTGCTGCTCCGGCTCCACCCGCACCCGAGGTCCTGGCTTCGCCTGTCTTGGCTCCGCCCATTGTGGTCTCCAAGTCCTTGAGTTTTGTTCCTGTGTCCTTGACACTGGTCTCCGAGGAGGTCCCTGACTGTAGGACCATCGCTCCTCCTCCCTTTCCATGTCCCAAAAGGGGAGAGGATATAGGCACAGGGACTGGCTCCCACCCACCCTGCCCCCTGGCTCACCCTCTCTCGCCTTGGCTGGGCCTCAGGGGGCGCCTGCGGGCCCGTCAGCTCCGGTTCGGCAGTCGCCTGCGGGTCCCCTTCTGAGGACTCGTCGACTACCTTCGGTCCTGCCTCCGCTGCCTTGTTAGTCGCCTGTGGGTTCCCACACCTCGGCTCATCAGTCGCCTGCGGATCCCCCCACTATGACTTGTTGGTCGGCTACGCCTATTCCGGCTGGGGCTGCGCCATTGCCTGCTGCGGCTGCTCCTCCCTCCTCGCCTGCACCTTGGTCCCCTCCACCTTCCTCTTCGCCTCTCCTGGTGCCCCCTCCAACTCCCTCCTCGCCTGCTCCACTTGTCCCTCCGCCTGCCTCCTCACCCCCTGCAAGGTCCCCTTCGTCTCCAGCCTCTCAGTCACTTGTAGCCCCTCTGGCTACCTCGGACTCCCCCTTCTCCGCCATCCTGGAATGGAAGTACTCCCTATGTTAACAGTATACATAAGGATAAATTTATATAAACATATACACACACATACACGTACGTAAATACTGCACAGTATATATTCTGTACAATTGGCATTGTTGAATGTATACTGCAAAGTTGTGATACTATAATAGAGCTCTGTACACAAATTGAAAGCCTGTCGTAATGGCAAATATTCTTTACATTGTGAATGGGACAGTGAATGTTCAGCCATAAAAATTCTGTACATTACAACGTGGGACTGACCTGTACATATTGAAAATGTTGGTTCTTGACGCCTTTGCTGAATAGTTGTCATGCTTATACGATAAATTCTAGGAAACACCTCTTGATCTTCATTAATTCTTATCTGGATTTCCCACAAAGTAATGGCTTTTGTTGACAACGACAGCTGACTCTTGGGCATAATCACTAATGGTTGTCTTCCTCCTGCAAAGGGTCACCTCTCAGTTCTGCAAAAACATTTTTTATATACAGTAAATTTACTGTATTATATATGACAATAATCAAGAGTATCATGTGAGGAAAGGAGGGACAATGAAGGGGGGTATTCCAGAAAGCTTGGTTAACTTACCATTTGGTAAATCATAACCTCTGGGTTGATATACCCCAAACCCGCATACCATGAGTATGTCGGTTCCAAAACACCTGAGAAGAGTAAGTTTAATCAACCTCCTATTGGTTACCCAGAGTTAATGCGCGTGCACGGTGCATACATAAAGACGTTTTCAATGGATCGCCGATTTCACGAGTCAAAATGGAAAATCAAAGTGAACAAAAAAGAGCGGCATACTTCACAGAGGTGGAGTTGGAGGTTTTAATGCACGCATATGAAGAATTCAAGCCAATAATAATGAAAAAAAGCAATACGACTGCATCGGCTAAAGAAAGAGAGTTGGCTTGGCAAAAAATAACGGACAGAGTAAATGCGTGAGTGTATTAAATTGCAAATTTGACATCGCCTCCCCTTTTATTATAATGCAAAATAATTAAACACCCTGTTATGTTGCGTGCTCCGACGAGCAGGAAAGCAGGCGAGAGGAGCCGGTGATACGAGCAAACAGGGTTTATTCATGGTACTGGAGACAAAACCAGGCAAGATGAGCACCAGACATTACGAACGTCAATGACAGATCTGGGAAGACGCACTCAGACGCGGACTAAATACACAGAATAAGGCAAGAGAAACAGGAAACAGGTGATGACAATCGGGAATTAACACGAGGTGGGCATGGCACACATGAGGATCGGACGAGCTGGGCGTAACAGAACCCCCCCAAAGGCGCGCACACCGGGTGCGCCCCAGGGGAGGCGAGGGACAAGACAAGGGAACAGGACCTGAACGACAAAACCAAAACATCAATGGGGCACCGGAAACAGAACAGAAACACAAGGGCAAAAGCCAGAACAGGACCTGACACAAGACAGGGAACGCGGACAGACAGACCAGGAAGGGAGACACAGGGGGAACACCGACAGGCGGAACAAAAGGGCCAGGAGTGAACGGAGGCACAACAGGGGGAGCAGGAACAGGAGGGACAAAGGGACGAGGAGCAGACCAGGGAGACCAGACAGGAAGGGACGGAGGACAAAGGGGAGCCCGAGGGAGCCCAGACGGGCGGCGGCCGGAGGAGCCGCAGGCAAGAGGGAGGCAGGAGCCGCAGGGGACCACACAGGGGACCAGGGAATGGGTCGAGGGAGAGACGGAGGGGACACAGAGGGAATACCGGTGCAGGCCAGCAGGAGGGGGAAGCCGCGGCAGGCGATGGTGCAGCCGGAGCCGGGGAAGTCGCCGTCCGACACCCCGCGGAAGCAGGGGGGCCCGGAGGCGGCCGACACGGAGCCGGAGGCAGGACCGAGGACCGGCACCGAGGCAGCGGGGGGGGACCCAGAGGCGACTGCCGACCCAGAGCCGGAGGAACCGCAGGCGGTCCCAGTGCCCCAGCTAAGGCGCGCGAGGGCAAGCCAGGGGGCAGGGCGGGACCGCAGTCCTGCGCCGGTGTCCCCTCCCCTTTCTGGAGACTGACAGGTGGGGCATTTGCCGGGATCGCCCCCATGGAGGTAGGAGCGGGAGTCAGGCTGTCCGGGACCTCCTCAGGGACTAGGACCAGAGCTGGGGGGACTGGAGTCAGGGCAGGAGTCAGAGCCTCAGGCGAGATGGGCGAGACCTCAGGCGGGACCTCTGGCGCAGACGGGTCAGGCACAGGCGGGTTCGGCAGAGCAGCGGCCTCAGCAGGCAGGGCCGCGGGCAGAGCGGCGGCATCAGCAGGCAGGGCCGTGGGCGTGCGACCAGCAGGTGGCGCCTCAGCGGGCACCTCGGGCGTGCGGCCAGCAGGGGGCGCCTCAGCGGGCGCCGCCGACACGTGGCCAGCAGGGGGCGCCTCAGTGGGCACCTCGGACAGTGCCGTGGGCAGAGCAGTGGCATCCGGCAGGGCCGTGGGCAGAGTGGCGGCAACAGCAGCAGACGGCGGACGGTCGGGCACTTCACCCAGCACGTCCAGGTCAGGTGCTTCCCAGCGAGGCTGGGTCCCTTTAAGGGATCGTGGGACCCGCGGGATAGCGTCCAAGACGGACCCGATCCCCACATGTTCCAGGCGGCCACCCTGGAACATGGAGGCTGGTGGCGATGGTAGCTGCGCGACTGTGATGATCCCCGGGGGCTGCTGAATCAGGAGGGGTTCCTCCTGACACTCCGTGGGGAGAGAGGCAGTGGAGAGATAACAAGCCCCCAAGAAGATTGTCGGGGCAGCTTCCTCTCCTTTTCCCCTGCGCTTCTTTTTCTTACGCCGGCCGGGACCGGTAGGTGGAGGCGGGGTTGCCTCTGAACAGGCGAGCAGCTGGAGCCGCTTCTCTTCTACCCGTTCGACGAGCTGTCGAAGGTTGGAGCGCACTTTCGCAATCGAGTGCGCCTCCGTGCGTGGGGTAACCTCTTGTAAGAGGGTCCAGCTCTGGTCTGCTAAGACGAGCAAGCCAGGGTCCTCACGGACCTCCGGCTGATCTTGCCAGTACTTCACCTCATGCAGCAGGATCAGCCACGGGTCTTCCTCCTGCTGCGGTGTCATTCCGGAGATGTATCATTCTGTTATGTTGCGTGCTCCGACGAGCAGGAAAGCAGGCGAGAGGAGCCAGTGATACGAGCAAACGGGGCTTATTCACGGGACTGGAGACAAAACCGGGCAAGACGAGCACCAGACATTACGAACGTCAGTGACAGATCTGGGAAGACGCACTCAGACGCGGATTAAATACACAGAATAAGGCAAGAGAAACAGGAAACAGGTGATGACAATCGGGAATTAACACGAGGTAACGAGGTGGGCATGGCACACACGAGGATCAGACGAGCTGGGCGTAACACACCCCTTCCGCATCCTTTTGACTGTTAAATCACTATGAAAGCATTTACTTTTCCTGCCATTCATTTCTTTAGGTTAAAATAACAATGTATATTGACTAGCAATATACGGTTTCTCATTTAATAAGGTGTAATCCTTCTGGAGCCAGAAGAACTTTGATCCAAGTCAAAATGAAACACAAAAACATTCTGCAAAAAGGTAATATTTGATTACACGATCACTGAACACAATTTAGTATATTCTTTCTGTCATGTAGCTAATAGAAAGAAGGCTGAAGCCCGTCTAACTGGCGGGGGCCCACCACCACCTCCCCTCACCCCATCTGAGGAGCTGGCTCTGTCCCTTAATAAAGGGCGACTAGTGGTTGCTGGCATTCCACGGGGTACTTCATCACACACACCATGCACCACAAGTAACATGGTGAAATGTAAGTTTACCACTATGATTTGTTTTCATTATATGACTTAATAAATTACTATCTCTGTCACTTAAAGGCTTTTTGAACAGGCTTACTATATTTAACTGCATATGATGTATAGGCCACTGTGATCTTAGTTGTATTACTTTGACATGTTTTTTTCCTGCATCATTTCTTTGATAATATTGAGAATTTTATGGGTTGTATTTTCTTATAGATACTGATAGAGGGAATGTATTATTGGACCCTACAGAAAGAACACAGTCTGTCACAGTTGTAAGTGTTTTGTTGTCAGGTACCTTTAGTTGCTTTTAGGGGATTTGCCCACAGATGAAGGTCCTTCAACCTCAATGCACGATCTAAGCAGTGTAAGAATTTGTGTGCAGTTGTCCATATTTTAATTTTATTGTCTGACAGAATCTCATTTATTTAATTATTTTTGCCTTCCTAGTTGCCAGCAAAGGAGCATCTAAAAGCAAAGGAGCATCTAAAAGCAAAGGAGCATCAAAGGTCCATCTTCAAAAACAAATAAGAAAAAGTGACATGGAGATGGACCTTATACAGCTTCAAATGGAAGAGAAAAGGCTATCCATTAAAAAAGCAACACTTGAAATTGAATTACTGGAACATCACCTTAAGGTGAGAACTTCTGTGAATATTAATCTGTTGCATGTTAAAAGTGTTGTGTATATAAAGCAATGTAATAAAAAAAACTCATTTTATTTAATTGTTTTTCAGGAAATAAAGAAATGAACTGCACAGCAGACCAGTGCAAACAATTTAATAAAAGTAATTTTGACAAATCCTGTCTCTCAAACGTCTACCATCTCTGTTGTGTGCAAAAATCTGTAGGGGTTCCTCTGGGCCATCCTCTTCAATACAAGGAGGGTGGCTCACTCCTCTTATAGTGGAAATGTTGTGAAGCACAACACAAGCAACTATGATGTCGCATGCCATCTCTGGACTGACCCGGAGCCCACGCAGACACTGAAACCTAGACTTGAGGATCCCTATGGTCATCTCCAGCTTGGCCCGTGTTTGGCTGTGAGCCAGGTTAAAGTGTGTCTGTGATCCAGGATCAGGTTCAGGGTAGGGTGTCATTAAGTAGGGCAGACAAGGGTATCCTCTGTCCCCCAGCAAGTAACCATTGTACTGGCCTGTAATGATTCAAGTGTACAATACAAATATAGTAAAAAGAAAGAAAAAAAAACCCTGCTGAAATGTCTGCCATAATGATGACTCGCGGAAAATTCTGGCATCATGCACAGATCCTGGCCATTTTGCCTCAACATTAGTATTGATGTGGGTTGCCTCACATATTACCTATAGTTGAAAAGTGGAAAGTAATGAGTTTAATGATGTTAACAAGGCAAAAAATTAAGGACACAAAATCAAGTTCTTACCTGCACATTGATACTATGAATAGATTTCCTATTAACATAGTCTCCCTCATTTATTGAAGGAGCTTTAATAGGAATGTGGGTGCCATCAATGCACCCGATTACATTTGGAAACCCTGAAATAGAAAGTCATATATGGAAGTATCAAGTGTGTGTGTGTGCAGGATGAATACATGTATAGACATAAATAGCATGACTACATATTAAATATGCATCATAGATTTTACTACAAAGGACAAACCTGCCACTCTGTGGAATTCCTCTTTAATAACACGCATAGGTTTATGGGCAGGGAACTGTACAAACATTTAAGTACCAGACATACTGTGCGAACGGCTCTACACACAGTTGCCTTTCCCACATGCTCTGCATCGCCCACATTGTACAAAAAATGCCCTGACGCAAAAAACCGAAGTGCTATGCACAGAATGTTTTCTGTGCTAAGCACAGACCCGCGGTTTGTGACATTTGCAATATGCGGTTTCAAGAGATGTGTTAAGTAAATTAACGATTCTTTTGAAAACCGATAACGCTCTTTCAAATAATCATTAGGAAATGAAAAGACATCAATACGCGGTCTTATAACTCTCTCCCGGCAAAAAAAACCTCATCTGATTTGTGCCTCCACGTCCACAGGATCGTCATCAAAAGGGCACGCCATGCTCAGTAACCTTCTGAAACAAACTGACCCTGGAACATAACCCGCTACCAAGCAGGTTATCTTCAGAGTGTAAGTTGCTATGGTTACATACATACCCAGAAAGTTACCTCCGTTTTTGGAACCGAAAGTTGAGGTTATCCACTATCTTACTCTTAAACTTACCCGGGTATGTCACATAACCTGCTTTCTGGAATACCCCCCAGATGTAGCTTAAGGGTGAAATTAAACAAGTTTATTTAGAACCCATACACAAAGTAACAGAAACAAAAGGGATGGCAGGGGCTCACAATGGAAGATTGCCCTGTTCTTCAGAGAGTACTACAGTACTGTCAGGGTTAGTTCCCATCTGATCCTGCCCTTCGTGTCTCTTACCCATCAGGCCAGCAGGTCACTGGCCATCCTGGCTTGTCACACCTTGTCTGAAAACCCTTATTCACTGGACAGCTGCTTAGCTTGATGGGTTGAGTGTGTGGCTCTGAAGCTGGTATCCCCCCACTCATGGGTTCTGGACTGGCCTTGGACCAGTCTCATCTATTTATTGGTTTCTTAGTTTTCTGTTTTCCCTGTGTTTATCGTGTTCTCTTTTGGTTTTCTAGTCATTGGTTTGCCCTGCTTGTGTTCTTGTGTGTCAATAACCCTAGTGTTTAATTCCTGGTATCTGTTAAAGTTCCATAAATTCTGTGCTTATTAGTTGTTAGTTCCTCCACCTGTAGCCTGTTTCCCTGCACTGTGCTGATTGGGCAATTGTCTCATGTGCCACACCTGCCCTCTCTTTAGCTAATTACTTGTTTGTATTTAAGTGCCTGTATCTGTTCTCTTCTTTAGTTTGTCATTGTAATTTGTTATTTGAGTGTTAATCTGCCCATTTTGCTAGTTCCGGTCTCTGTATTACCTGTTTCCCTGTATAGGTCTATTTTATTGTGCAGTTTGGAGCATTTTTACCTTTTTATTTCTAACCCCTCGTGGTACCTTTATTTTGAGCTTTCCCAGTGTGTTTCAGTTTGTTTAATAAACCCTTTTTGTCTTGGAGCCATCAGTGGATTGTCCATTTTCCTTGCCTGCAACATAATCTCACACTCTCAAAGGTCCATGATAGGTACCAATAGCAAAAATTATTTCAGGCTGCATGTATCATTGCCACATGTGCTTTGTTCAGGATTTTGCCTCCTGCTAAATGCATTGAACTATTGATATTAAAACAAGGTTTATTACTCAAAAGAGAAAAGGAACTGAACGGAAGTCTAATAGCTAATAAAGGAAACTGTGGTTCTTTATCTTCAGTATCACGGTGACTAACTAAGCTGCAAGCAAGCATCAGCAGCCCAAAAATATTTCATAACGTTCTCCTGGCATCTGCCAAACCCAGAATTGTCCATCAGGCTGCCAGACAGAGAAGCAATATTCATCTCCACAGAATACATCCGTGGAAAAAATTAAGATACCACGCTCTTTAAACGAATCTGCATTTTTAAATCCCACTTTTGTCATGGACTGTAGTTTCTGGCATGAGGGCGAGGCATGGTGCAGGTAGGAAGGAAAGTGGACAATCCACTGGCAGTTCCACAGGAACACAGGGGGTTATTAACAGAACTGAAAACAGTGGGAACATTACTAAACAGGCAGACCATGAGGGGTCAAAACTAAAAAGGGTACAAAGTAACTAAGAACAAAATGATCAACAAAGGGAAACTAGCTACACAGGGAAAAGACAGGGAATCAAAAAATAGCAAAAACACAGTCAACAAGAATATCAACAACAACATCAACATAACATGACCAACAGAACATGACCAAGAACTTAAATACAAGAAGTTAACAAAAGTAATGTAGGACAGGTGAAATTAATTAAGAAGGGTTGGTAACAGGCAACAGATGAAACTAATAAAAATAAAATCATGAAACTAGGAAACAAAATCTAACACTACGGGAATAACAGAAAAGTAAAACACAACCAAGGGCACAAAGCCAAAAACCAAAACCTAATACAAATCACAAAACATAGGTACTAGAAAACTCATACAAAAGAAAGACTAGGGAACAAAGTCTACAAAAATACAAAAACAGAGGAGGCAGGATTTGAACACACGACTGAGTGGATTACAGGTAGCCACATGCTCAGCTTATTGAGCAGGGGAAACACTAAAGACTGACAACAGGAATGACAGGATGGCCAGCGACACCTGCTGACCAAACAAGGAGAAGACACAAAAAACTCGGACAGACAAGTGCAGACCCTGACAGCTTTAATCATAGTTCTGCTGGCGGAAGGCTACGCTGAGCAGCAGATTGGTTCCAGGTTCAAAATTTCCAATACCGCAGTACACAAGAATAAGGTGAAGCAAGAGACACTGGGAGCGACAAGAAACCAGCCAGCTGGGGGGGCGGAAGCAAATTTGTAATGCCAATTTGGAATGTGAACCCTCTGGGTACAAGCGCATCACCGGCGATGCAGTGTATTTTTCGCGTCTATTTCAGTTTATGTCTTGTTTAAATCTTTATGTAGAATCATGAAAAAAAATGCTGACTAAATCCGTAATCTGTCTTCTTTTCAAAATGTCAATTTAATACGTCCAAGTATTTCAACTGGCAAAAAAGTAAACCATGTCATCTTTCTTTGTTTTACCTGCATCGGAGATGTGTAGTACCGCCCTCACCTTGAAGATAAGCAGAGCCAAATTAGCGCATATTCAAATCGCATTCACATGGTAATTTGATGAACAATGCAATAGTGAAACGCGATCCAGATACATCCCCGTCAACACCATAAAAGGGGACTGGGGATGTGGCCAGGTGTGAATGTCTCATGCATACACATGAGAGCTCCTACTGTACATATTCAGTGGAAGGAGGCCAGAAATAGAGACATGAGTTAGCTTTTTCTTATTTATTTATCCAACTGAATGTTGCAACTACA